AAATAATAAAAATGATACGAAATCAAGACTAATGTGTTTGCTATGGATTATAATTTCTACAAGTAAAGTCAGGTTAATGTGGTTTTTGTAGATCAATGTGGGCCTTGTGGAAGTGGTGGTGCTTGAATTAACTATTTCTTGAAGGATTTAGAAAAGAGGAGAGTGCTGGCATGAACAAAGGTATATAAATAAGAATAGTCAGGGCCCGATGTCATGGGTTATGAAGAAGAGAGAGCCTCACTGGAGCACTACTCCTATCAGCTCTGTTAACATTTTTCAGGACTTACTATGTGCCAGGCACACTTTCAAGCATTTTGCGATGGGAAATCATTTTAAGTTTTACAGTAATCCAAGGAGGTAGGTGTTGTTATTCCATTTTCCATACAGGAAAGGAATTTGAAACAAAGAGACATTAAGTAACATAGTTAGTAAGAGGTGGAGCTAGAAATGAGCCCTGAATGTGTGACTTTGGAGTCACTGTCATAACTTCTGTGTTATCTATGCAGAGGCCAGAATGGAGTTAGCCTCCAGATTTAGAGAGACAATGAGAAACAAAACTAACATTACTTTGTCATTTAATTTGAGAGTACTGTTTATTCAACCTAATGGCTACAGAAATCAACTTTGGCTAATTTCATCGAAAAGGGAATTTATAAAGGTATAAAAAAAGGGAATTTATAAAGGTATTAGAAAAGATACAAAAGTAAAGGCATTGGGTAGCTAACAGAACCAAACAAAGAATTGTTAATCAGATTTTGGGGGCTGGCCAGTTAGCTCACGTGGTTGAGCATGGTGCTGACAACACCAAGGTCAAGGGTTCAGATCCACAAACAAACAAACAAACAAACAAAAGCAGATTTTGGAAAGGACAAAAGAGTTCCAGGGATCTAGGGAGCAGAAACTGGAGAAAAGACTCTCCAAGGTCTTGACATCAGAAAGACTGAATTTTTACTATTTTCTGTCTTTTAGTCACTCTGCGTAAGATTCAGATTCCAGGGGAAAATGGTAAGATCTTGGCCCTGGTGCCCACCTTTTGCCCAGTGGGTGTTGGGAGTTGTGCCAAGATAATATGGCATGGAGGAGGGGCTGTTCTTCAAAGGAAACACTGAAAAGAGTGGTGAAGGGATGCTAG